AATACACAGTATCCCTGGCCCCAGCCTGAGAGTTCCTATCTATACCTTGTGGCTAAGAGCCACGGATGAACCTCTGCTCCATATGCTTATCCATAAGAACATAAGAGAAGCCAGTGTTGGATCAGGCCAATGGCCCATCCAGTCCAACACTCAGTGTCACACAGTGGCCAAAAATACCAGGGGCCATCAGGAGGTCCAGCAGTGGGGCCAGGAGGACACTAGAAGCCCTCCCACTGTTGCCCCCACCCCACAAGCACCAAGAATACAGAGCATCCCTTGCCCTAGACGAAGAGTTCCGATCTATACCTTGTGTCTAATAGCTACTGATGGACCCCCTGCTCCATATAAGAACATAAGAGAAGCCAATGTTGGATCAGGCCAATGGCCCATCCAGTCCAACACTCAGTGTCACACAGTGGCCAAAAACACCAGGACCTTACCTTTTTAGAATAGGCAGACAGCAGGCCGATCACTTCCCGCACAAACGCTGGGGGCTGGTCTGCTTGGACATTTTCCAGATTCCTGGAGGGGGGGAAAAAAGCAACACATACATCTGAGAACGAATCCAGAGTTTTAAGCAACCTTCTGGGGAGACACAAACCCCACGGTCACGTGCCACTGAAAGCCACAAACCGGCTCGTTCCTGGACATGAATCCTCATGCGTTAGGGAGGAGAGCGGCTCCAGTCTTATTCTTATTTCTAAAGCCTCTCCGGCGCCAACAATGCGAATCCTGTACAGGAATGAATGAATGCCACTGTGGCTCTGAGAGAGACAGACTGGAGAGGAGGAGGAGGAAGGAGGTCCGTCCTGCAATCCTCCCCATACTGAAAGTTTGCAAATAAACAGAGCTTAAGAAGTTAAATTCAGAGACTGGGGATTCCCCAGGCCCACAAATCTAAGTTTTGCTGTTGTTGTTGGGTTGGGTTGTGTTTTTTTTTTTTTTTTGCTGTCAAGTCACAACTGACTTATGGCGACCCTGTAAGGTTGTCAAGGCAAGAGACTAACAGAGGCGCTTTGCCCTTTCCTTCCCTCTTTGCAGCAACCCTGGGCTTCCTTGGTGGTCTCCCACCCAAGGACCAACCAGGGCCGACCCTGCTTAGCTTCCAAGATGTGATGAGATCAGCCTAGCTTGGGCCACCCAAGTCAAGGGAAGAGATTAGCAATTTGCCATTGCCTGCCTCTGCGTAGTAACCCTGGGCATCCTTGGTGGTCTCCCATCCAAGTACCGACCAGGGCCGACCCTGCTTAGCTTCCAAGATGTGACGAGATCAGGCTAGCTTGGGCCACCCAAGTCAAGGGAAGAGATTAGTAGAGGCAATTTGCCATTGCCTGCCTCTGCGTAGCAACCCTGTGCTTCCTTGGTGGTCTCCCATCCAAGTACTAACCAGGGCCGACCCTGCTTAGCTTCCAAGATGTGATGAGATCAGCCTAGCTTGGGCCACCCAAGTCAAGGGAAGAGATTAGCAGAGGCAGTTTGCCATTGCCTGCCTCTGCGTAGCAACCCTGGGCTTCCTTGGTGGTCTCCCACCCAAGTACCGACCAGGGCTGACAATGCTGGACCTTCCAAGATCTGAGGAGATCAGGCTAGCTTGGCCCGTCCAGGTCAGGGCTACAAACTATAGGAGAAGTCAGTTCTATTCTTTCCAGATTTATCTCAGCTCACCTTTTTACAAATGCTAATAGGTCTAGAAGATTAAGCCTCCTCCCCCCCTTCAAGCAGGGAACAGAGACTTGGAGGTGTTAAATGCTAGAGAGACTTCAGGAAGGAATCTCTAGGAAAAACTCCCCTGACCCAGCCTGACCTGGTCAGTGGGTGGGGGAAAGAGAGGTGATGCACAAGGCATAATGCCGTAAAATATAGAAAACACTAAAATTCATTGTATAACCTAGTAAAAACTACAGTACAAAATAAAACGATCCAAGATGGCGAACATGAAATTAAGCAGGCTCCGAAGCACGACGGAAGACAGGAGGGCCTGGCGTGATGTGGTCCACGGGGTTGCGAAGAGTCAGCTGTGTGATTGAACGACGACAACAACAAAAATTATTTGCCACAATTCCGGACTCCCAGCCCCTTTTCTGGGTAGGGGGGAAGGGTATTCAGAGCAAAAGGTGGGGGGGGAGCAGGGGTCATTTCCTGCAGGAGCGCACAGGAGCAGAGCTCCGGCAGTAAAGAGCCCAGGGGGCGGGCACATGCAACAAGCCCCACCCCCTGCTCCTTCTCTCCCTTTTTCTTTC